TCTGAACCAACTTAACGTTAAATTGCAAGGCAATGGAAATACAGTGTTATCCATTCAACAGTCCGTATTTTCTTCTTAAAACAAGCTTGAACTCCTTACCACGGATCTTGAAACAGATTGTTTACTACATTTTGAAAAAGTGTGAAAATATAAAGATGCATGTACAGTAAGCAAGTCCACTCAAAATTTTTATCTCCACCAGCTAGTTGGCTTCACATCCAGTCTCCTACAGCCGTTCCAAGCACGCTTTGGACAATTTCGAGAGCACACTCGTCTTTTTAAGTTCATCACCCATCCAACCGGGTGTTCACTGAACATAGCCGAACTAAGTTATATTCCTGGTTTTTCCGATGGAGATTTCGAAGAAGAATTGGTTGACCTGAAAGCCTCAGACATGTGGGTGAATAAGTTCAAGTGGCTCAACGAAGATTTGGAAAGAATCGCACTTAATAAAGCGGAGTTGACAAGCGAGCATATGTGGACAGAAATTAAAAAACTTCAACCCGAAGACCAGCTGATAATCAAAACTTAGAACACGCTTCCGGTGACATACCACACACTGTAGCGTGTGAGTATTGCTGTGTTGACCCTGTTTGGATCTACGTATGCATGTGAGCAGTCATTCTCACATCTTAGATACACAAAGTCCGCCCTACGATCACGTCTAACGAATGAAAGCCTCAACGTTTGCATGAAGCTTAACTCCATCAACTACCGATCAGACTAGAAAACCATCAGCAAATCCATGCAGCACCAGAAGTCGTATTAACAATGAGTATTATGAGAACATTAATAAAGAGAATAAATTCAGGGGCTTACTTTACTCGTATTTAATTGAATTTCATCTTACAATATGCTATACGGCACTCACGGAAATATATTTCCAAATATTTGCTTTCTTGGCTCTCTGAGTTAAAAAGGTTTCCGACCCCTGGTCTAGTACATGGTAGTTCCAGCTTCTTGTGCTTTGGGTTGCAGTGTTAAACCACTACAGTCTGCTATCAGACTGCGCCCTGGAGTACACGGAAGGATTTGCCAAGGTCCCCCTGACCTCCTGGTTTCTTTGGCTAGAATTATCCGATAGGGCTACCTTGATGAAAGAAGCGCTCTATCTTTCAGCGCGTTCACCGGAACTTGTGCTGACAATAGCAAAGTAACGAGCAACGTAAATTCAAATGGTGCGTACCGATAGAACAGGTGAAACCCATATGTTTCGGACTACAGGACGCACTCAAAGGATTTAATTGCCTTAAAAGACGAGAGTGCGTCTTACATGTCGAATAATTCTAGTTACTGATTTCGATGAGCTTTTCTGTGGTACACAGCGCTGCGTTAATCTGTAGTCAAGAGCGCCGCGGAGTAAGATATACTGTGCTTGACCATAAT